AAACAGGAAAAATTGTGGGGGAAATGGGAAAATTTGGGATTTAAAGTGGAAAACAATGGAGAAAAGGGGGAAATCGGGAGAAAACGGGGCAAATTTGGGGGAAAAAGTTTGAACTTGGGGTTTCCCTCCGCGTGGGCTCCGAAATGGGGCAAATTTGGGGGAAATTCACCTGATTTTGGGGCGGCGGCGGCGGCGGTGGTGACCTTTGACCCCGGACTGTGACCCCGGGCGGAGCGCCGCACCCCAATGTGCCCCATTTCCCCGTTATTAACCCCAAAAATGCCCCATTTCCACGGTTTTGAGCCCCCAAACGGCCTCCTTTCCCCTGCCAGGACCCGAAGGAGGTCCTGCTTGCTTCCGTGCCGCTGCAAATTGCCCGATTTGCCCCAAATTTGCCCCAAATTTGCCCCAGATTCGCCCCTGATTTCATGCTGGGTCGGTGGGGTGCTTGGGGGTCTCTAAGGGGAGCTTATGGGGCGCTTAGGGGGCACTTATGGGGCACTTGTGGGGCACAGTGGGCACTTATGGGTCTCTATGGGGCACTTATGGGGCACAGTCAACACTTATGGGGCTCTTATGGGGCAGAGTGGGCACTTATGGGGTGCTTATGGGGCTCTATGGGGCACTTTTGGGGCACAGTCAGCACTTATGGGGCGCTTATGGGGCACTTATGGTTCTCTATGGGGCACTTATGGGGCAGAGTGGGCACTTATGGGGCTCTATGGGGCACTTATGGGGCACAGTCAACACATGGGGCGCTTATGGGGCACTTATGGTTCTCTATGGGGCACTTATGGGGCACAGTCAGCACTTATGGGGCGCTTATGGGGCACTTATGGGTCTCTATGGGGTATACTTATGGGGCTGAATGGGTCTCTATGGGCAGTTATGGGGTCTATATGGCACTTATGGGGCTCTATGGTTCTCTATGGGGCAGTTATGGGTCGCTATGGGGCAGTTATGGGTCTCTATGGGTCTCTATGGGGCAGTTGTGGGGTCTATGGGGCACTTATGGGTCACAGTGGGCACTTATGAGGCTCTATGGGTCTCTATGGGGCACTTATGGGGTCTATGGGGCAGTTGTGGGTCTCTATGGGGCCGTTATGGGGTCTATGGGTCTGTATGGGGCAGTTATGGGTCGCTATGGGGCAGTTGTGGGTCTCTATGGGTATCTATGGGGCAGCTATGGGGTCTATGGGTCCCTATGGGGCAGTTATGGGATCTATGGGGCAGTTGTGGGGTCTATGGGGCACTTATGGGATCTATGGGGCAGTTGTGGGGCTCTATGGGTCCCTATGGAGCAGCTATGGGGTCTATGGGTCCCTATGGGGCACTTATGGGTCTCTATGGGTCCCTATGGGGCAGTTATGGGTCCCTATGGGGCAGTTGTGGGGCTCTATGGGTCTCTATGGGGCACTTATGGGTCTCTATGGGTCACTTGTGGGGCACTTATGGGTCACGCTGGGCACTTATGGGGCGCTTATGGGGCTCTATGGGTCACTTATGGGGCTCTATGGGGCACTTATGGGTCTCTATGGGTCACTTGTGGGGCACTTATGGGTCACGCTGGGCACTTATGGGGCACTTATGGGGCTCTATGGGGCACTTATGGGTCTCTATGGGGCACTTGTGGGTCCCTATGGGTTCCCCTTTAAAACCCCACTGATCCCTTTAGCCCCGCCCCTTCCCTTTAGCCCCGCCCCTTCCTTTTAGCCCCGCCCCTTTCTGACCCCTCCCCCCTCTGACTCCGCCCCCAGCGCCGCGCCGTGGCTCTCATCCAATCAATGGACGCCGCTCGGGAAAGGGGGCGGGGCTTAACCCTGAAGCCCCGCCCTTCGCTCCGCCCCAAAGCCCGGAACAATAAAAGCCAATGACGAACCCGGCGCTGATTACTTCCGGGTCATTTGGGGGTCATTAGAGGTCACGGGTGGGTCATGTGACCATTAGGGGTCAACGGGGTCATTTGGGGCCCCACACTTATGGGTCCTGCCCCACACTTATGGGTCTCACTTATGGGTCCGACCCCCCACTTATGGGTCTGACTCCCCACTTATGGGTCCTGCCCCACACTTATGGGTCCAGCCCCACACTTATGGGTCTCACTTATGGGTCCGACCCCCCACTTATGGGTCCTGCCCCACACTTATGGGTCCTGCCCCACACTTACGGGTCCCACCCCACATTTATGGGTCCTGACCCACACTTATGGGTCTGACCCCACACTTATGGGTCCCACCCCACACTTATGGGTCTGACCCCACACTTATGGGTCTCACTTATGGGTCTGACCCCCCACTTATGGGTCCTGCCCCACACTTATGGGTCCCACCCCCCACTTACGGGTCCCCACCCCACATTTATGGGTCCTGCCCCACACTTATGGGTCCCACCCCCCACTTATGGGTCTCACTTATGGGTCTGACCCCCCACTTATGGGTCCTGCCCCACATTTATGGGTCCCACCCCGCACTTATGGGTCCCACTCCACACTTATGGGTCTGACCCCCCACTTATGGGTCTCACCCCACACTTATGGGTCCTGCCCCACACTTATGGGTCTGATCCCCCACTTATGGGTCTCACTTATGGGTCTGACCCCCCACTTATGGGTCCGACGCCCCACTTATGGGTCCCCCCCCACACTTATGGGTCTGACCCACACTTATGGGTCCAGCCCCACACTTATGGGTCGTAGCCCCCCCACATGAAGACTCACACGACACTTCCGGTTCCCCCCGGGGGCCTTTATTTCCCCTCCCCCTCCTCTTCCTCCTCCTCCTCCTCCTCCTCCTCCTCCACTTCCTGTGACCACACCCCCGGACCGGAAGTCCCGCCCCCTCCCAACAAGCCACGCCCCCAAATAGTCATATTTTTTTTTTCTTGTTGTTGTTCTGCCCCGCCCCCTCATTGCTTGGCCCCGCCCCTCGGCCCCCAACGGCGTCGTCCCATTGGCTGCGGCTCCGCCACCTGAAAGACAAAGGAGACTCACGGGGAAGGGGGCGGGGCTTGAGCGGGAGGGGGGCGGGGTCAAGGGATGGCCCCGCCCCCTCCTCCTCCTCCTCCTCCTCCTCCTCCTCCCCTCCCCCACCTCCCGTCCCTTTTCTCTGCCCCACACTTGTGGGGCGCTGACGGCCTTCAGTATGGGGAGTACCAGGAGGTGGCTCTGGCTCGGCCCCTGTGGGAGAGAAAGGAAGAGGTTGGGGGGTAGAGGGGGGGTGAAGGGGGGGCAGGGGGTCACGTGGATGGGCGGGACCCCCTTTGGAGGACTCTCGGGGGGGCTTGGAGGACTTTTGGACAGTTGGAGCCTTTCCTTGGAGGACTCTTGGGGGGGCTTGGAGGACTTTGGGACAGTCAGACCCCTTCCTCGGAGGACTTAGGAGCCATAGAATCCCCCTTGGAGGACTCTTGGGGGACTGGGAGGACTTTGGGACAGTCGGAGTCCTTCCTCGGAGGACTTAGGAACCATAGAATCCCCCTTGGAGGACTCTTGGGGGGGCGTGGAGGACTTTTGGACAGTTGGAGCCCTTCCTCGGAGGACTTAGGAACCATAGAATTCTCCTTGAAGGACTCTTGGGGGGCTTGGAGGACTTCCGGACTGTTGGAGTCCTTCCTCGGAGGATTCAGGGACCATAGGAACCCTCTTGGAGGACTCTCGGGGGCTTGGAGGACTCAGGGACCATAGAATCCTCCTTGGAGGACTCTTGGGGGGGCTGGGAGGACTTTTGGACAGTCGGAGTCCTTCCTCGGAGGACTTAGGAACCATAGAATCCTCCTTTCCTTCCTCGGAGGACTTAGGAACCATAGAATCCTCCTTGGAGGACTCTTGGGGAGGGCTTGGAGGACTTTGGGACAGTCGTGGAGTCCTTCCTCGGAGGACCTAGGAACCATAGAATCCTCCTTGGAGGACTCTTGGGGAGGGCTTGGAGGACTTTGGGACAGTCGGAGTCCTTCCTTGGAGGACCCAGTGCCATAGAATCACCCTTGGAGGACTCTGGAGCTTCTTGGAGGACCCAGCTACCACAGAACCCCATTTTGAAACACTCCGGTCACCCTTGGAGGACCCAGGGACCACCAAACCCCCTTCGGAGGACTGTGGGAGTCCTTGGAGGACTTAGGTACAGTCGGAGCCCTTCCTTGGAGAACCTAGCAACCACACAATCCCCCTTGGAGGACTCTGGGTGGGTGCGTCCTTGGAGGACTTAGGTACAGTCAGACTCCTTCCTTGGAGGACCCAGTGCCATAGAATCGCCCTTGGAGAACTCTGGGGCTCCTTGGAGGACCCAAAGACCACCAAACCCCCTTCGGAGGACAGTGACACCCTTCCTTCCGACCTCGGAGGACCCGTCACCAACCGGAAGAGCTCCCCTACCTGTAGGCCCTCCCCCGGGGCCGACTGTAGCCGCTGTAGAATCGCGCTCGGCTCGCCCCGTAACCGCCGCCTCCGCCGCGACCCCGGTAACGAGAACGGGGGAAACCCCGATCCGTCGTGCTGATTCCGGGGCGGTTCGTCCGCTTCGGGATCACCTGCGGGACGACACGATGCCCCCGTCGTTGCGATAGAGGTCCGACTGTCGCGATGGGACGCTCTCCCGTCGCGATAGAGCTCCCCGTCGCTGCGATAGAGGTCCGACCGTCGTGATGGGATGCTCTCCCATCGCGATAGAGATCCCCGTCGCTGCTATAGAGGTCCAACTGTCGCGATAGGACACCCGCCTGTCGCGATAGAGCTCCCAGTCGCTGCTATAGAGGTCCGACTGTCGCGATAGGACACCCGCCTGTCGCGATAGAGCTCCCAGTCACTGTTATAAAGGTCCGACCGTCGCGATAGGAAGCTCTCCCATCGCGATAGAGCTCCCCATCGTCGCAATAGACATAGCAACGTGACATAGCACTCCTCCATCACAATATAATGCCCCCACCCCATTGTGATCCAGCATGTTCTGTCACGACATAACCCCCCCC